CAACAACAACTCCCTTCACGATTCCTCGTGTCCTTTTATTTCGTCACTTGGATGCTCGTTGTGCAACCGATTCGCCCTTTATGGTCGACTGTGAAACACGCGTGTGAAAAATAGAAAAAGAAAAAGATAGAAAAAGATAAAGATTAGAAATCAAATCATAGAAAAGGATATTTAAAAAGGAAAAATGTTGTAAGAGAGAAAGAGAAAGAACATATATTGTAAAAGTATTAATTTTGAGATAATAATAAAATAATAAAAACAATTGATTTATATACTTGAATAGTGATTGTTAAATTGTTAACGAGAGAAAATCAAAATTGTGAAATTAATTATTGTGAGATTAGAAAAATAAACGTTTGTAAAGAAGAATATTTGAAAAGTGTGAATTGTGTCGGTAGATAAAAAATAACAAAAAAAAAGTGAAACTATAAATTGTGTGATTAGAAATAAATGTTTGTAAAAAGGAATATTTAAAATTGGAGAAATGTCAAATGTGAAATGTGTGTGATAAAAATTAAATACAAAATCGTAAGAATATTAGAAATAATAAAAAAGATTATTTGAAAAGATTGAATCGGAAAGATTATTGGTGATACTAGATAAATTACTAGATTATTATAGTGATATTTGACAAATCGAAGAAATTGATTAGTTAAATCGTTAAAGGAAATGATCTGTATCCTGATGTGATTACTTCTATTTCCAATGATATAAAACGACAAGATTTTCCAAAGATTACTACTTGTTCTCTTACACTTTCCAAGAATAAACTTTCCCGCCGTTAAGAGAATCGATTCCGAGAGTTGGATTTTTCTTTAAGAAAGAAATCGATCTCTGTGCTTATACGTAAATATACCTGTATGTGTCTGTGTCTGTGTGTTTGTGTGTGGTAGTATACGTTCATGTGGTTTTACCAATTTTGAATAAAACGAATTTAAATCTAAGTAACTAAAACGTCAACTTGTACCATCTTACTTGTTAATCTGTTTTTCTTTTAAAAGTAAACAACAAAGTATAGATTTTTGTAATACACTGATTTTGTTAATAATATTATAATAAATAATTATAAATTATTAATACCGATTTTAAGTAGTAGAAAATCCCTCTTTTTTTGTTTTGCAGTTTTGTGTGGACGTTTTGTTTTCCTTTTTTTCGTAACTTAAGTGAAGGTTTTACACGTTAACGACAACTAACGTCAACAGACATACACATACAAGCACACACACACACACACACACACAATCGAAACTTAATCGAAGTTTGAAAATTGAACTAGCACAGAAGGAGGTTTCGTTCAGTCACGTCGACGAAATGGAAATGCGCGAAAACTATCAACTCAGAGTTTCGTTCCTTCTCGTCGTTCACGATGCTAAAAATAAACTTACTCGAAACCCCACCACGGAAACCACCTTCTATCTATCTTAGAAATTAACATCCCTCCCATCCTTATTATTATTATTATAATATTTACTGTATTTCATAAATTTTAATATTATTATCATATGTATAAAAAATATTTGAATTATATTGGATTGTTAGGAAAGTAATTTCATTATTTCTTTAGTGAAAATGAAGACAATTTTCATTTTGAAATTAAAACCTAGACCATTCGAGTGAGCGTGAACAGTTGAATTTGATAAATTTAACTTCTTACCGATCTCACGTGTTGTTATTTGTCACTTTGCATCAATTCATGCATTCATTGTGTCAGGAATAAACGAAATTACTTTTTGAATTTAGTATTGTATATAACTATTGTAATTTTTTTTAAACAAAAATAAACAAAAGTAGAATGACGAATTATAAAAAAAAAAAAAAGATTTAATAGTAAATGTTTCATTCGAAATAAGCAACACACAAACGTCTAACGTTTCTAACGAGAAATGTGTTGTGTTTAATTTTAGGCTAGTACATTTCCGTAAGGTTCCATTTTTCTTATTTCTATTCATATATCTATGTCCCTTTTTCATTATCCATTCTTCGATCGGCTAATTTCTTCCCAAAGAAAGAAAGAATCCTTTTTTTTTAAATGTATTTATTGTATAATAATAAAAATTATATGAAAATTAAAAAAAGATCAAAATTGAATCTCAATCGTTAAATTAAAAGTTCAGTCAGTTAAACGTCAAATTTTTTTTTTTTTTGAGTATTTTCTTTTGTCTTTTTTAAGTTAAAAAGTGGAACTAAAAAGTAAAAAAAAAACAAAAAAAAAAAGAGAGAGAGAGAGAACAAAAAATTCGATCATAAATTTAGTTACCGACACTTCTAGGGATAAAAGGGAGGAGAATGTAGGTGTCTATACTTCGGTAGGGCATTCAGAGCTGAAATTGATTTCAACTTGGTCACACCCCGTAAAACTTGGTCAAAGGGTCGAGTTATAGACGGGGGCGGTATTGGATAGATGGAAAGATAGATAGATAGATGGATGGATGGATGGATAGATGGATCGTAGTAAAGGTGTCGTGGTTATATGCAACCCGATCAGCCTAACCTATCTTCTTCGTGGTTCTACCCTCACTAACTCATCACCGAACCACCCTACGCACGACACTCTATTCTCCCACCACCCTTCACTCCCACCCCTAACAGTACCACTACCACTAGACACTGCATTCCCCAATCATCCTCACCCTCACCACGTCGCAACCACCACTAACAGTACCACTAGCACTACCACTAACTCATGTTAAACACTCATCACTTTTCATCCCTACTTCAATCAGAAACTTATCCCCAATTTTCTACTTTCTTCTATTTCCTTTTTGAAACTACCCACTTTTCTGGTTCCAATTCTGATCAAATACATGGAATTCTTTTCTGTAATGTTATTGATGTTTTTTTTTTTTTTTCTATTTATCTATTTATCTTTTTTCTTTTTCATAAATCGAAGAATTTTCGTTTACTGTAAACGTTTTCAATCAAAATTTGTCGATGATACTTTTTGTACTTTTGGAAATCTTTTCTATTATATATTATTTAATATATTATTTTTAATATATTATATAATATATTACTAAAATATTTTAATAATTATA